TTTTATGCATCTCTGGCAGCAGTATGAATCCCATACTGTGCAGGAATCTTTCTCGACATCAGCTGACAGCCGGAAACCCTCCTGCCACTGCGACAGAGGACGTTTTTTTCCTCCTTCGTCATTCCCTTTAAAAGGTAAGTGTTTTCAATTACTTACCATAATAAACTTTTCCACAACAAATGTATGAAGTGGTAACTACGGTTGAGGGCTTTTTCCTTAAATGTTTTTAAAACGGAAAAACAGAATCCCAAACTGATGCTCGGTCAGTAAAAAAAAAAAAACCCAGAAAGGCACTGTAATTCCAGTTTTGTGGTGGCACTGCATGCTTCCTCTGCTGCTGTTTCCAACAATTTGCCATGACTCAGAATTTCGGCGAGCCAGGATTGCCGAGTCATCGCTCCTTGTCAGTGATGATGGACCAGTGGCATGGTAACCAAGGAAACTATGCTTGTGGTCAGACCTAGCATTACTTGGCCTCAATCTTGTTAGGATTCTCCACAAATCCTATTGGTGCACCGTAGGCCAGTGTGGGCCAGTGCCCAAGATGGTCTCGTCAGATCCAGCTCAGATACTGGAAAATGATGACCCTGAAGTGATTTTGTGTGACATCTAAGTAGCCCTCAATGGGCGATCTACAGCAAGACACTCATGTGACCAAAGAACCAAGATCCAGTGTTACTGGAATTCAGCATGTATTCATAATGGATACCAGCATACTGCAGTCTTTGTAACATCAATAGGAAAGTGCACTCTTTTTGCCTTCCTCAAATGTATTATCAAATGACATTTGTAATGTTTTAGGAGGAAAATTCCCTATTTTTAGAAGAAGACAACACAGTAGGACATCAGCCATCAGGCGAACATGCTCATCTCACTCTCTGGGCAGTGGCCTTATATATTGGCCCCACCTGGGGGGCAGCAAAGGTCCAACAAAGCCTGGATCTGTGACGGGGTGACAACAACAGCTCCCCCGGTCACCCTGGTGACGGGACCCCGCAGTCCTGGAGGATTCCCTCAATCTCCAGCCTGAGGTGAGAGGTGTGGGTCTTTCCCCCCCCAAATCCTTTGGCCCCTTTTCATGGCTGCTCACACAGTCTCAGTGCTCACATGACACACAGATAGCAGGAGGACAATGGGCACACTCCCTGAATGCAAAGAACATATCCCTGTCTTAATAAAGGGGGCGGCGGGGTCCTGAACTCCCCCCCCGCGCTCCTGTGGGCTTCTGGCCCAACTCTGGGGACAAGGGGCTATGCAAAAGATTTAATGGGACCAATGTCTTTTCCAGAGGTGGAAAGTGTGTCCCAAACTACAAGGGCATACAGCACAGACCGTCGTCATTCTTGAATCAAGGAAGGAATCATTGGATGCAAAATGTCCCAAAATTTCCGGGGTTGACAAAATATTTATGAGAAATTCATATGAGTAACAATGTGATGTTGACGGTACTACTATATCGTCACTGACCAGGATTTTTCATCAACAGCTTAACCAAGTCTACAGCCATTGAAAAAGAAGGATTTATTTTACTCTAGTACAGCGTTTGGATGTTTAAATTTGCTTCAATATAATTTTTAAATGACAAAGTGATACCAAAGCGCTCGGTCAATAGCCAGATATAAGCGCTGGAGGAGAATTTGAAACTGAGCAGGCGATTAGCTAATCTCTGTTCATCTGACCGAGCTGAAAACAGTGCCGAAATGAAAAGAACGGCGTGCAAAACGTGTAAGATTTACCACGCATCTTTTGGTCTGTTGAAAGAAATATGTGCGGAACTTATAGCGCCTCTTTAATAGTCGCGCCAGAGCCTGGCGACCGCATCCTGCGCTTTGCGGTCGCATGCTGCTTTTGGCTGTCGCCAGGGCCACCCTTGTGACACATTTCTGAGCGATTACTCGCCACAACGGAATCCGACTTATTGCAAACCTTCTGAGATTTGTCGAAAGGGGGGAGCTTGTGTTAAAACGGCTTTCAAGGAAAACATTTATACACAGATAAAAAGCATTAGCCTTGACTTTGCTGCAATCACTATGCGGGCTCGGGTCTCATAACCGGACCTTTCCGTTTTTAGATGCAAATGACTCCAAAATTCAACGAAATGTGTAACTAAGCATAATTTGAAGCAGTTTTAAACAAGTCGCAAATATCTTAACGTGTGGCTTTTTTGACATTTAATTTTCATTTCAATCTGTAACAAAAACTGGTCTTATTTTTAAATTGTGAAAAGTAGCTGAGGTATTATTTAAATATCATGAGCACAAATACTTATATTTTATCTTTTCATTGTAGCTTAAAGTTTCAAAAATTCGAAGCGAGTGACTGCATACAGATGTAGACTATACGCTGTTTTTGGCGGTTTAACGCTTTTGCTCTTATTTGGATCGAAATACAGATTTAAACTATGATTTTAACTCCGATATTAAATCGTTTATATTGGGTATCGATTTACTTTGGCTATACACATTTTTATATTAATATATATCTAAAGCCTGAAAGCACATTACTATTGTGAAACTATCGTGATATATTATAAGCACTTCGCTTGTTAATTAATTTGTGTAGCGACATATACAGAGCTATGGAGCATGAGCCGGGGCATTACAGGACCTGCGTTTGACAGTGGCGGCACTATAGAGTTCAGTCTGAAGCCGCTCGCGTCCAGCTGTCCCGTACAAGCAGACGGTTCTGACAGGCGCCTTATCCGAAGCGTCCCAAGCCAGGAACTCAAAGTAAATGAGTGCCAGGTCTTAAGAGCAGATGTTATTGATTGCAAGCTCTAATACATTAAATATGCATATTAATAGGTTATATTAATTTCTGTCTGATATAGCCACATATAACCTGTTTATATAAGCAGATAATTTTGTATCAGTGCAATATTTAAAAATTAATTTTAACTAAATAACAGTGACAAAAGGTATGCCAAAGGAAAAAAACTACTTTGATAGTGCCTCGAGAATTATTTGAATTTTTATATTTATGTAAAATAATATAGCATATTACGAGTCTTCTGGAAAATGCGTTTTAATACTTTAGCAGGAAAAAAAGAACTGACGCAAATAACCTGCTGTTTACCCGTTTTCACATGAATTACGAAACAGTTTCCTTTTCTGTGAGGTCTACTTCCCTCCAAGTTTTTATGGTAGCCCAAGGCTGTAAAACTAAGATGGCCAACAAGACAAAAATGCAAGATCAATACAGGAATTAAAAAATATATATTAAAATAATTCCATATAAAGATTCAACAACTTACCGGAAGAGATGTCACATGATTAAGTAAATCTAGCATTTAAATTTTAAATCGAATAACATTTAACTGAAAGGGAGCAAATAATATATCGAATCATTTCAGCATAATTAAAAATGTAGCCTAATACTATTAAACGTTAAGTTAATTATATACGCATAATTTATATCGCAATAAGTTATATTTTAGTACATTATATCTTTCAAAATATTAGGTCTACTGTTATGTTTATTTAACCGTGTACATACCATTTAAATGGTATTTCCTCAACACGTCCCAAGTCTTGTGGCAGTTTATGGAGAGATTTTAAATTATAGAAAACTAAGTCATCGTGATTCATTCATGTAAAAAAACTGCAGTTTTACAAAAGAGACGGGAAACGAACTAGCAAATAATGCTGATATAGCGGCGAAGAAATGTCTGTGCATTTAAATTCATATTAATGTGTCGTTTCCTTGGTGCTGCATGCAGTACCACGCAGCACAGCTGTCATGTGTGAAACATCTGTGAGGACTTAAACAGAAGCGATTATTTAAACACCCTGTTAAACCATGGAAACCTCTTAAACTATATTTGTGACAGAGATGGGTAATCACCCCCAATTTCAGTAATACCAGAACACTACCTGCTTACTGATGTTTTAATTAAAAGATCTTTACGACGGAAAGTTAGACGCAGGACATTTTTACGCGCCGAGTATAAATTACAGTACACCAAACAAGGGTTACTGGGAACATTTTTGGTTAATTAGACAGCTATCATCCAGGTCTTTGTGTACATATCGCTCCTCTGATTCCGCATCTCTTTGATTATCAGAAATAACGTCGACGATTCTGAAAACGATCCCATTTCGCCACCAGTCTTCCAGGTCTTGAACTCAGAGAGAAGGAAGATGCGTCTCTGAGCACCAGACGCTCCTTTTCAACATGCATGGCTTTGTGAACATAATGGAAACCGTATGTCAGGAAATTTAAACTGATCTACCGAATAAGAGCGTGTGCCGCCCTGCCAAAACTGTCTTCAAAATGTATACAAAACATTTAATTATATCGGCTCTAATTAGAGCCTGTATGTCAACACGCGCCTGTGTTGTATTCCAAGTTATGATATTTTAAAAATTGGGACCGATGTGTGGATGTCGTGTGACATAAAGTATCGCTGAAGTTCATTTTAAAAGCCCATCGAGATATAAACCTGAGCTAGAAACGTACAAAAGACAAGCTATTTTGACAACTCCAATAAAATATTTTAAGATGCTTAGATTTGCAAATATCATTACCCGATATTATTATGATCCTTCTTCCAAAAACAAAGCTAGAACTGACGAATACTTCGAATTAGGAAAAGCTCTCATTAGCTACTTTACATTTTGTAAAATTATTTTGACAGATAGCCCGATTGATCTGTAGGCCTACCACCTGATCGGAACAGGCTACCAATATTGTCCTTCCTATTATGAAATAATCATTTAATCACATAGCACCTACTTTAAAGGTACATTTGTTAGTCAGCTGAAAGCTATTCTTTATATAAGATTACATTGAGGCTGGTAATTTATTTTAATCAATTCAACACTTAAAACGTAACCTTGTTTTAAATTCATGTTACTTGGGGTTAGAATAAAGACGCGCCATCATATGTTTCTGGCACTATTGTCCAGCGTTTCTTGAGCACTAATTAATTTTTACAGCGTCTCTATTCATTCTCCAGCAGCACCGCGCCAAGGAAATAGTGCAAAGTGCGAAAGCACGTTTTTTTTTGTAAATATTGCTAAAGCCGGGACGCTTTTTGGGCACAAGGAAAAATTACCTTTATAATTAAACGCGGCGCTTTGTTCGCCGTTGATCTCTCCGAATTTCTTTGTACTGGTCTCTATTTATTAGCTAGCAATGGGTGATCTATTAAGAGAGGGTACGTGTCCTAATGGGCTCCCTTTCAATTAGGTGAATGGACTTAAACAGTCCCCAGTACAAGACATGGACGCCCCAGAACTATTTAATCACCACGACGGAACCAGTGAAAGTCATACACACATGCCTCCCAGGTATGTTGCCTGATGGCTTAGGGCCTTTACGTTAATCTGATCCAGCCGCCCTTTCCATATTGAATATATCGAAACATTTTAAGTTTCAGAGTTTGACCTCAAACTTAACTGCACCATCTAACTGTATACTCATAAATTAAGTTACTAATCTCAATTGAAATGGAGGACGTCTTTTTTGATCTTGACCAAGACAACGCGTCAGATTTCGCCTTCTGGGGACAAATGGACCCCAATTTCCAGTTTCAGTCCCAGCTGGACAGTTTACTGTTTGACTGCACGACGGGGACCGAACAGCTGTCCCCTTGGTCCGGCTTCGGCGGCTCCCAATCGGTGTTCCCTGATGCGCAGCTGACCTTCGCCGACTTGGACTCGCACTCCCCACAGCTGGGAGCCGGTGCTGAAGCGGACAGCTCCCCTGCGGACGAGCCCCACGAGGTCGCCCTGCGCAGGCAGCCGCACCACCCATACAAGGTGCAGCGACATGCGGCCAACATTCGGGAGCGGAAGAGGATGCTGAACATCAACTCAGCTTTCGAGGAACTCCGGTGCCATGTGCCAACCTTCCCGTACGAGAAACGTCTCTCCAAGATAGACACTCTGAGACTGGCCATCGCCTACATCGCCCTGCTGAGAGAGATACTCCTGTCCGGCTGCGATCCCAAGTCATACGTGGCCGAATTCATGAAGAACGGGTACAAAAATAAAACCAATGCTGTATGGAACACAAGTGGTAAGTCACTTATTTTAGAATGCACGCAATAAAAATGGCAAAACCCACGTCTATTATAAAATGAAGCCTTCAGCTGTTTGCTTGATATTGATTTCACTTCACGGTTTTAGTATAAAAACCTCATTTGACGGCAGAGTAATTTTGTATACATTTATGTGATGTACGTGATTTAAAATAAACAATATAAATTTATCACATTTCTGCTGCATGTCAATAATTACAGCTCAGATATACATTACTATGCACGTCTGGAATATATATCAACTTCTATAGGCAAGCTCATATATACATAGTACCAACGTTTAATGGAAGCGTAGTCGTGTACACAACATGATGAATGTGCGTAATTTTATCCATTTTGTAAACTTCCTAGAGATCATTTCCACAACAGGTGCAAAAATGACGCCATGAAACCTATCAGCTTCTACAAACTGTAAGGGACTGCTTTCCCAACGTCATGAATGAAGTTTACAGTGATCCAAATTTCAGCGTTTTAAGTGTGTTTTTTTCTACATTGTAGAAAACCTTTAAAAAATCTGGGCCATTGTGCCGAATCAATAAACGCCATATAGCGAAGCATTCAATTGATATGTTAACACGCTGGAGCCAATAAAATGCCCTTTAGATCTAAGTGCTTTTGACGGCCATTGAAGTAATTTTTTTAGTCGTGTCGGCGTAGAAAACATTTTGCGAACGCGGACTTCATTGTGTTCAAGTGTCACATTAAACTGCCATTTAACAAAAAAATCATGTTTTGATTTATAATAGAATATGCTAATATTACGCAGCATCGCCTCATCTGATTGGCTGCCCGCTGTTCCTCTCTCACTTAAACAGGAGCCGCGGTCGCCCTTAAACAGTCTCCTTTGTTTACATACGTTATTCGTCTTATTTACAGCTGTCGCATGCTTTGCTTTGTCAGACTCAGTCCCTTTGCAGAGATTCAAGTGGTCTCCCGCTCCTCAGTGCGTTTTCATTAATCAATTCCCCGGGTGGCTTACCGGGACGGGAGAGGGGGCCTGCTTCAATGCGGGAGTTGTTAAACGGTCATTAAAATTAATTCAGGGCTTTTGTGCCCGCTTCGCTCTGTCTCGCCGCTCACTTCAGATCTGACTGCCCGACTCTCCTGGGTAAAGTGGGATTAGTGCACCACGGCAGGCTGGAGAACAGCACTGCTGGCAGTAACATCCCTGATGATGACCACCTTGCAGGATGCCGTGGGGCCAGGCTGTCATCTGCAAGCTTCCCAGAGTGCGGTACCTCAATGACTGTTTCAATTTAAACCCAGTCCTCGTATTTGTGTTGTACCTGGTCTGAAAAGTCTTTCCCGCACTATATGTTATTTGTTTGAAGATGGTGTTGAGCTTCAGTCGCTTAACTGCAGATCTGCATGCACTTTGTCACCTGACTAAGGTGTAGTATTTATTTGTACAGGCATATTTAGGATTTTTGTTTAATGAGACCATGACACTAGTGACAATCTCGTTAAATCGAATGGATTTGAAATGTATTATTTATTATTTGTGTTTGGTTGTTTGTAGCTCTACCAGTCCCATAAAACTTGACTTTTTAAATCCCTCCATCTCCTGCTCCTTCTTTTCCTGGCTACACCTGGACAAGCTACAGCTCGATGAAGTTATTCCTTAACGTATTTTAAAAGACATCTTAACATAGTGGAATTAATGGCACTTTTTACAGCTTCGGCCCCCAGTGTGCACTTTTCATGATCGCTGGAAGCTTCTTGGGGTCAGGTGCTGCCAAGGTGCTGATGCGCGAGTGAGGAATCCACTGGCAAGGCTGAGCATGCAGCTGTCCAGCTCCCAGTGCTGTGGCCCTCAGTAACAGCAGTGCTCACCTTTAGCTTAAGGACCCCATTATGAAAATGCTTTTAGAACCTTTGGGAATGAAGAGGACAAACTGGAGGGGACAGATGCCAGGACGGGTATGAAGGGGACAGACCCTAGGATGGGTATCAAGAGGATATACCCCAGGACAGGTATGGAGGGGAGAGTCCCCAGGATGGGCATGGAGGGGACAGACCCCAGGATGGGTATGGAGGGGACAGACCCCATGACGGGTATGGAGGGGACAGGCTCCAGGATGGGCATGGAGGGGACAGACCCCATGACGGGTATGGAGGGGACAGACCCCAGGATGGGCAGGGAGGGGACAGACCCCATGATGGGTATGGAGGGGACAGACCCCAGGACAGGCATTGATGGGACAGACCCCAGGGTGGGTGTGGAGGGGACAGGGACAAGACAGGTGTGAGGGGACTGAATCTAGATTGGGTATGGAGGGAACAATCTCCAGGATGGGTATTGAGGGGAGAATCTCCAGGATGTATGGGTATGGAGGGGACAGACCCCAGGATGGGTATGGAGGGGACAATCCCCAGATTGGGTATGGAGGGGACAGACCCCAGGACAGGCATGGAGGGGACAGGCTCCAGGACAGGCAAGGAGGGGACAGACCCCAGGATGGGTATGGCAGGGACAGACCCCAGGACGGTTATGGTGCCGGTCGAAGCCCAATGTGGTACCCTAGGCATGCCTGTGTCACCTAATATGTTGACTGGCACTGACTGATAGGACACATTCCAACACGTGGTCATCTCTAGCTACTAGCAGCAGTCATTGCAGTGACCGAAGATGCACTTCGCTGCCTAGAACGGAAACATATTTTGATGTTTACATCCTCTAGTGGGCATTCACTGTACTGAAATTCTGAAATGTCAGGCTGCTTCCTGCAAATTTTTTTTGTATTATTATTCTGCAGGTGTGAGATGTGAACTGCTAACAATCCTCAGCGGAAATGATTAGGAGCAGTGGCAGTCATTCACGCAAAGGCCATTGGGGTGGCTCAGGTGCGAGGGCCGGCCGTGACTTATTCCAACAACACGCTAAAGCCGCACATTCGGCATGCGTTTCCACTGCGACCTTTCCACCTGCCGCAATGAGTCCCCTGCTTATGCACTGCCCCCCCATCCAATCACACGTGCTCTGTGCTGACGCGGTGTCCCGTGGCAGTCATTGCATCAGCACGGCACGTTGCGCTCCGGCAAACTACAGCTCCCAAAGGTGGTGTTCCCTGGGGTGACATGTTCCGCGCTCCTTGACAGAGACCCCCACCCGTCTTGGAGATGCTTACTCTGCTGGCCACTCTGCAAATGCCACCAGCGAGGTCCCCCCCCCTCCCCCCAAAGACCATAATACTGGTCCCCATGAATCTGCCAGGGCATCCTTCACCTGCAAGAAAACAAAGATTTGCACATAATAACTAATTTAATTACTAATTAAAGACTAATAATCACTACTTAAAAACTACTTAATAATTAAAACTTTATTGTGCAAAATACAGTGTAGAATACATCTATTGCACAAAATACAATTAGTGAAACATAATCAGTAAAAAGATGGGGAAAAACAAATTAATGAAAGGTTCTGTCCTTTCAGGGAAAAGACTGTACCTGTAGTGTGTACAGGTTACACTCAGCGGAAATGCATAGAGTGGGAGGCTGAAAATAGATGCGGACAGAAAATAACACTGAGGTATTGGCTTGGCTGGGAATAGCTTTGGCTTGATTTTCTTGAGCCTATGTGTCTTGCAGTGTTTAAACAAAATCACTTATGCTGCCGCTGTTTTTAATTCAATCATCAGGCGCAGCTGTGGGCCTCATGGTTGGCAATGGATACTGGAAGTAATAATGACGACCTTAGTCATACCGCTTCGCGGTGCAAATTGACCATTGCTTCCCTCTAGTGGAAGATATTATTCCAGCTTTAATTTGTCAAATCCTCAAGGAGCACCACCCACCTTTATATATTTTTTCTCGAGAAATTTAATACAGGAACAGATTGGAACAATATGGTCAAATGAAACCGAACTAAATATAGAAACTAAACTGCATTGACGACCTTATCCTCTTCTATGGAATACTCATACAATAGCTGGCTCAGGTTCAATATTCTTCCAAAAATCTATTCGTATTTTCAAAACCGCCTTTAAAATCCAAAGAAACTTTACTTAATATTTATGAAATGGTTCCGAACTAACTATATTACTATAGTACTGAGAATCGTAATATATTAGTCATATGGCCTGTTAATTCGTAGGTCTTGATGAATGCGTATTTGATCAAAGTTGGTAATTAAGTAATTCCTCACAAAGAATGGATGACAATGAAGAAGGGTTGAGCCAGAGGTAAATGAAATTAAATTTTAGCTTTACAAAAGTTAGCAAAGAACAGCACGTCATTAACCAAAGCGTTTTCTTTGAAATGATCAAAATCCCGCGATTTATTCATTCTGCAATTAAATCATAAATTAATCATTTAAGAGCACAGCTGGACGAAAATGCAGCAAACCCCGCGCTCCACCAGGTTTGGACACGCGCCGGTTGCACGGAATTGCAATACATAAAACATATAAATGTACCATTATTAAAACATGTGTATTCTTCAGATGGCGCTTTAAATTTTTTGGAGACGACAGATGAAATATCTTTCCCCATCAGTCGGTGTTTATCCTACGCATGAGTCTCAGAGCGACAGTCTGTCAATAAGGCCGAGATTGCTGTACCTCAGTTGGTTTCCCCATGATCAAGGCATCCGAGCGCGGCGTCGGCCATAAATTCAGTGGATTTACGAGTGCCGTTTTGGGAAACGCGCACCTGTGCGGTTCATTGCATTACCCGCAAACATGTGCGCTGCGTTTCTGCACCTGCGCCTCCGTGTCTCCGTCTAGCTGATGGGCTAATGTAGTATGAACACCATTACCGTGAAAACGTAATTTTTAGGATATCTGCTATAAGAAACACCTCGAAGTGAAGCGATTATATGTAACATACTGACTAAAGAAAGAAGTAAATCTGGATTGCAGAATTGGTGAAGATTCCAACGAAATGCAGTTCATAGTTCAAGGGGCCGCTGAGGAAACCGTAAAAGGCACGATGCAGTACAAATGGTACGACCTAAAAGATTATACCAACAACTTTCGGGTGTTTTAAGTGCGCAGTAAGATCAGAAAATGAAACACGTGAAATCCTACGTGCACGGAATCTGATCCCATTTTGGTCCAATAATGATTTCATGAAATGTCCGAGTTATTTCCGTACCAAATTGAGACTACGGTCAAAAAGCAGACAAAAAGCGGTAGGTAACAGAAACACGCTGCACCACACGCCACAGGTGTCTACAGGGAGGAGTGAGTCAGACGCACAGGCCCTGCCATTGTTTATTGGTGTAAATGTGAAATATGATTGGAATGAACTTGCTTATAACACGGTCAGTTGTGTAGCGGACTTTAGTGAGACGGACTGGAAGGTTTCCTTAAAGGCGACATCTGCCGCCGGGCGAATCGCGCCCTTATCGTGAGACTGGTCGTGTATCCACAATTATCTTGGTTTAACCTGGTTAAATCTGTGCTTAAGTCCAATAATAGTAATCAGTTGTATTATATCATACATTTAAATACGATACGTGTACATATCTTTACGCTGACGTTTATAAACATTGCCAGCGCGGACAATGTCAAACCTAGGCTGCATTTTAACATTCATATACTGTACATGTAAAACGTAATAGATTTAAAAGTAATTAAAAACAGTGTGTGTATATATATATATATATATATATATATATATATATATATATATATATACACACACACAAACACACACACACATATATATATGATAGTATATGTAAACACACTGTAGACATAACTTAAGAAACACATTTTATACAGATTTTATACAGATAATGTACATTTACGAGTGAATATGTATTTAAAGAAATAACATACTGTAAATACTGTAATATATTGAAAACTTCCACAGACCGCAGACAGACACTAGCCTACTCTTACGTGTAAAATGCCTGATCACCTGCTTTTCTCATCATCGTACCCCCCCAAAGCTTTGGTTTGCCCCCGCAGCTGATAGCTCATATTAGTGTGAGGCAAATATATTGTTGCCTTTGCAGTACATTTTTGGAATGCTGATGTTGCGGCACAGTGGGGAATCCCGATCCGAAGCATTCCCAGACCACGGCTGGGATTTCCAGCCATTTCCTCCTGTATTGAAGTCATAGTTCTCTCTGTGCCCACCACAACCACACTCACCCAAGAGTCTAAATAAACACGGTTGACAAGCTGTCCCGGGCCATGGAGACAAGAGAGCGGGCTGGGGGCCACAGCCGTGAGTGGGGGTGCCGGCATTCCAGCATAGCAGCAAGGGGTAAGTGGACACAGGAAACGGGCTTTGCTGGTCATCAGACTCGCATTTTCACATCGAGTGGGATGGTGTCAGATCTGTGAAGACACACTGAAGCCTGTTGGTCTCTAGCTGTTAGTCTGTCTTGTACTTTCCTGATAGTACTTTCTAGATCAGTGCTAAAGCAAAGTCTGAGCCCTGCTGATTTTCCGGCCTTCCTTCACCTGTGAACTGGGTGTAAATATTCTGGCCAATCAGAGACAGTAATGAAAACATGGCCT